GATTGGAAGACAGGTCTTGGCGGCGTGCCATGTTCTACCATGTCTCTCTTCCACCTCTGGCCCCTCTGCCCAGGCTTGAACCACTGCGGCATCTGATTACTTCTAGCCTTACCCCAGGGACTGGCCACTTTTTCTATAAAGGGCCAGAGAGTAAATGGTTTCAGCTTTTCAGGCCATTTGACCTCCGTGACAATTACTCAACTCTATGGGGGTGGTGTAAGAGCAGGCCCAAGGAGCAGACTGATAAAGGGGCGAGGCTATGTGCCCATCAGACCTTATTGACACCCGTAAATACGGAGGCCTCAGCCTGCTGGCTCCTGCTTCATTCATCTTCCAGGACCAGCCAGAGGGAAACTGGCTCCAATGTGACCTTCCTGGCCTAAAGAGACTCTGCAGCGCCCCCAGGATCTGACTGTGGTCTGCAGCCCTGGAGGTGTGTGAGGTCCCTGGACCAGGGGGGTCACCATCATCTGGGAGCTTGCTAGAAAGGTAGAGCCCAGATCCAGCCCAGACCTGCTAAATAGGACTTGAACTCTTGGATTCACACTGCAGCCTGAGCAGCTAGGTGTCCACACCCCCATGTCCTGGTCCCTTCTCCCCTCTGCCTTCCCATCATGTCCTTTGCTCATGAATCCTTCTCCACCCCTCCCCCACCCACCACCGCCAGGTGAACTAGAAAGCACCTGGGCGTTTGACCTCTTCTTCTCCAGCCCAGCTCCCTCTGCTTGGTCCATTCCTGTCCATCCTTGGATCTCGACTCAGAGGATCTGACCCTAGAACCCCCACCAGGAAAAAGTGCCTCCCTTCTATTTCCATGACTGTCCTCTGCCCAGCACCCCCCACACACTGTACAAAAATGACTCCTTTAATGGCCTGCCTCCCTGTTTGCAAAGACTTGGGAGAGGCTGTGTGTGTGTGTGTGTGTGTGTGTGTGTCCTCAACACCCTGGGACAGTATTACAAAGCACACCCACCGAGTTCCCCCTACCCGCTACTCAGCCCGCGGTGACAGGTTTCCCTCTCAGGCTCTGAACTGTCCACAGAGCCTCCAAGATTCCATCTCAGGCTAAACCTGGTGATTTTTTTTTTCTTTTCTATCAGCCCGTGTTTACCATTTGGGTGCCCGAGAGATTACCAGGGCCCGAGAGATTTCTGGACAAAATTCTTGAGCTCTGAATTAGCCACAGGCTAAGACTTGAACCGTGTGTGAGGTTAGTGGGTGGGGGGTAAGGAAGAGGGATGGGGGAAGGGCAGAGAGTTCTAGGTAGGGAAAGACTTGGAGGGAGAGGGCTGGCGGTGTTGCCCAGTGGTTAGGCACCCGTCGGTTCAATCCCTCCTACAAAAAAAATGAAAAAAAAAAAAATTCAAGACTTGAAGAGAGAATCCCAGGTAGCACCCCTGCTGGGTTATGAACAGGCGTCTTTCCCCACCTGTACACGGAGCCTATTCTGTACAAATAATTCTCTCCAACTTCCCTGCGTGGAAAAGCTTTTCATAAAGGTTGCTGAGGCTTCTGCCAAGAACCGTGAGCCAGGAAGAGGAAAGCCCACCCCGAAGGTGACACGCAGTCTAGAGGTTTCTACAAATTTCTTTATTAATACAGCAAGACGGAAAAGAACAAGGTCCTCGAATGACCTAGATGATGGAAAGTGCAAATTTACTCCAACTTGAACTCAAAAACAAATAACAGGCCAGGCATGAGCCATTTGGGCCATGGAAATTTGGCGTGATTAAAATGCTTTCTAATCACACAATAATAGCAGCCGAGAGAGATCTGGTTAACTCTTTGGTCTCTGTTATTGGAACACAACTTCTGCAGCCCCAAGACCGCATGATAATACAGTTTGGCATCAGAAGACGCGTAATTAATTAACAATAGAACAGAGGAATGTTTTAAGTCAGGTGACTGAATCAAGGCACTTTTCTTTTTAATTAAAGCAAAAGGTGCTAAAATATTCCTGAATACCTGATACTTCAAAAAAACAGATTATATATATATATAATTTAGCTGCACATTTGAGTCTATTTTCTCTGTAATATGATAGCATCCTCTCTACCTTCTCCCAACCTATATTTGCATTTCCCACCCACTCATTTGCTATGTAGATATAAAATTATAAACAGACATGTCTAAGTCACAGACAAGTGATTAAAAAAAAAAAAAAAAAAAAACTAACACCACAATGATAACATTGAACTTGGTTTCCTCCTGAGGGACACTGGGAATGTGGATGAGGTTCATTCGCTCCACCACCGGAGAAAATTGTTATCCAAGTGGCTAGAGATGAGGAAGCATTTTCATCAAGATCAAAGTCACATGTTACCAAAGAACCTCTTCTGAGAGGTGCCAGGAGATGCTTTGGAAGCATGTTCATCCCCTCCAAGTGCAAAAAAATGTTAACTTTGGTGGGAGCCCTGGAGTCAAGACTGACCAGACCAGCATCCTCCGCAGTGGGAATGGTACAAGCCTAAGATGTCTGGCCCTGAGACCCAGCACTGTTCATGGTCACCGACCACGACTCTAAAGGGACAGGCTAGGATCCCACAAACAAAAATATTAAGAATAATTTTAATCCAACAACCAGATACAAGAAAACAAGTTCTTCTGCAATCCTTCCTGATTACTCATCTGTAAACTCCAGGGGCAAAAGAGGTTTACCACAAGTCCTCAGGAAAAAAGTGCCAAGTGGTTTGACAGAGGATCTGGTTTAAAAAAAAAAAAATGGCTTTACTTCAAAGTTAACTGAAAGTTAAGTGTTATCTGTGGCCATGTTAATTTTTTTTTTTTTTTTACAATAAAGCTTAACTCTGAGAGATAGAGAAGAACTGAAATATCGGACCCCCAACTATATATAATACTACCATGTCCATAACAAAGAATAGAAACTTATACATACTTGGGGGGAGTGACTGTGTTAAGACAAGGGTCGCAAACTGATGGCCCTCAGGCTCAACTAAATGTTTTGGACATTTAAAAACATTGATTTAAATAATCATAAGTTTAAAAAAAAAAAACTTAGCCAAAAAAAAAAAAAAAATCCTCCTGATTTCTCCCTCCCTTTTCCAGCATAGAGCTGAGCCACGGCTGCCCCCTTCTAAGGTGGGCACAGCCCCTGCCCTTCCTTATTTACTTCCCTCCCTTGTTCCCGCAGGCTGCTGAGTTTGCGAACCCCAGTTGGAAAGAGCATACCCCTAAAAATGTGTTTCCTACCTAACCCAAACCTCTCCCGCACCCTCTGGTGGTCCTCTTCTCCCTTCTGCCCGCTCTCTCTCTCACTTCCACCTTGAGCCTGCCTTCCTGAATTCTCCAGATTTCTCTCTGCTCACTCACATTCTCCCATCCTGCAGCTCCAGATTCTTTTCTTGCAAAAACCATCTTTTCTTGGTCCACAAATATTCCAGGAAGGCTCTGCGCCGGGTCAGTGGGAGTTACTGAAGGGTGTCTCACAAAATGGCCCAGAGATCTTCCCCAAAACTTTTTTTTTTTTTTGGGTAGTACCAGGGATTGAACTCGGGTGCTCGACCACGGAGCCACATCCCAGCCCTTTTTAATATTTTATTTAGAGACAAGGTCTCACTGAGTTGCTTAGGGCCTCACTAAGTCACTGAGGCTGGCTTTGAACTCGTAATCCTCCTGCCTCAGCCTCCCGAGCCACTGGGATTACCCCAAAACATTTTCTTGGGGCACTGGCTAAACAGTTTTCTCCCTATTTCTGTAGAGCCTTCTTGTATGAGAATATTGATATATAAATCTCCAGTACCAAGCATACACCAAAAATGTGTATATTTCAGATGAGGGATATGATGGAGCCCTAATAAAATCCAGAATTGAATTTAATGTAAATGCCTTGGGCCACCATCACACCTAGCTAATATGCCATCTTATTTCATTTGTACACAGTACATGTTTTGGATCACTAAAATTGATCAAAATTGATCGAAATCTCTTTAAGTTTTGGTTACCATGTACAGAGAATAATTGCTCAGCATATGGCATTTAAATAAAACATTAATATTTTTAAAGTCACAAATACAATGCCCATTAATTTAAAAAACTAAAATTTAAAAACCTTGAGGATGGATGAGGTTTGGGGTAATTTACCTGAAATAATAATAATAATAATATAAAAAACTACAATAATACTACATTACCAGGTTTATACTTTAAAATACTATTAAGATTAAAAAAAAAAAAAAAGCTACCGACTCAGCTAGAAATATCTGGAAAATTTAGTTTTTAAAGGTTTATAATCCACCCAATAGCCCATTTTTCCCCACTCCAGTAGACTTAATGACTACAGGGGAAGTTCGGGCTGAGTATGGAAATTATGTTTATATAAATACATAGATATATAGATAAGATCTACTCTTGGCATTTATTTTAAAAAGTAATTTTTTTAAAAAACACTGTGCAGTTTATATCTTTGCAGAAAGCTGTAATTCATTTCTTTGCTCAATGTAGTACCTCATGAATTGACATTCGCCTCAAAAGCTAGAAAGAACCCTTGGGGTATCAAAGAGAGTGGTCCCCAGAACAACCTTGAAGAGACAGCGCACTATTTGAGGCTGTTTCTCTTTCAGTCCAAGATTGAAAAGGATAAAAGAACCCTATGTAGGTCTGAGAAGGATGCCCTGTAAATCATTTATCCACAAGGATTTCCCACGGAGGTCAAGTGGATCCCCTAAAGAAAGGCAGCTTATGCAACTCCCCCAAAATAGCTCAGAAATTAAACAATGATCCTATTCATGTAACTATTTCTGTCTTGCAAACTTTTGCCTTTAAGAATCTAAGGAAGTACATGTCTTTTTTTTTTTTTTTTTAAATCCCAACTATAAGGCTGAGACTGGCTGCATTTCCAATCAGTGCTTCTTACACCACTCTAAGCTTGAACTGCATTTGGGAGAAAAAGGAAAATCTCAAACCCAGCTCTCAAATCCCTAGCTGCACCATTCACCCAACCCTGATATCTGCACCCAAAGAGAAAAAAAGAGTGCTGATATCTGCACCCAAAGAGAAAAAAAGAGCAGACTGCTGCTGTCTCTCCTGCTCTTCCTCTAACTTAGGGCTCTGCCCTGGGATCCGGAGTCACTGATCTCTAGGACAGATCCCGAGGTACTGATCTGTATGTGACTGTTTTGCAAAACCCAAGCTGAATCAAGAGCCTCTCAAAGCTGGCCCTTTGGGACCATTTGGGCTTCCCCGGGCAAGCAAGAAGAAACTTTCAGCCTCTAGCTACTCAGAAAGACACCCTTGCGGAGGAGTTTGCTTCAAAATCCTTAAAACCAAAAAGGGTTCTGTGTTCAGCCAGAAGCAAAGGCTGGCCAGACATCTTTATAGGCAAAAGACCGAACAGTCTCTTTCTCAAGATCCAACATGTTTCATGCCTGCACCAGTGTCAATTATGTATTTTGTTGCTGCTCTGCCTTGTGCTGGCTCACAGTAGGCGCTCAACAAACTGGTGTTGACTGACTGGTACCCAGTGCAGCTCGTAGCCTGGGGGCATGTGAAGCAACTCCTGGCTGCTTTTCAAAGCTGCACATGTCTTCATAATAAAAGTAACCGGCCTTCCTTTCAGCTGCAAGGCTTGGTGCTCCCACCACAAAACAAGAAAAGTGATCAGCATAAAGTGCTACTTGCTCTTGAGCATCCTATCAAACATCTGTGATTGCACCATAAAATACATTGATATTAATTTGAATAGAGAAACAATGTTCCTCGGAATACTAAATGCTGCACTAGAACTTCAATTGTCCCTAAAGATTCAGAGAGTTTTCTTCCTTTTTCTTTCTTTCTTTTTTTTTTTTTTTCAATTCAGTTGGGAACCTACTTTCTAGCAAATAGGTCTGTCATAAACATTTGTTAATTTTAAAAAATCTGGGTGCACTGAGGTCTGTGTCTAGAAACTGACCGAGGGAACTTGCTTTGTAGCTAGTTTTTGCTTTCTCTTTTAGATTTCCCTGGGAACAGATCTCTCTGCAAGATTCCACACAGATCACCCTTGTGGCCAAATCTCAACAGCTGCAGCTGGGCATTATGCCAGTTTGTTCAGAACCGTCCTGTGGATGTTAAGAAGATGCAGTAACTATATATTCGGTTGTGGAGCCAGGGGTGACATCTAAGCCACCAAAGCCTGTGGCATCCTCCAAATTGTCCAACACAGTCATCTTGCCTTTGGCTTCATCCCTACAGTCACCCGAAGGGAAAGGTTTTAGGAGCATTTGGTCAGGTGCAACTGCTGTCAAGGTTTAGGGTTCATCTTCAGGGAACCCCTGTGTGCGCTGACTCCTGGGTGGGGGGCACCTGGCAAGGTAGCGGGGACCCCCGTAGGCCTGGAGAAGCTGCGGCAGCCTTCGCCACGTGGACAGCAGCCTCGCCGCTGTGAGTTCGCGGGCGTGTGGGTCGAAGGCGGCCAGAAGGTCAACCGGGGCGGCTTCACGCAGTACCTTGGGCAGCGGGCCCACTTCGGTGGCCGCCCCTCCGGGGCCCAGTACACAGTGGAAGAGCGTGTGCCGTCTCAGCAGACAGCCCCGAAGGAACTGCACCAACTCTTCCAAGCACTCGCTCAGGTGCGCCTCCTCCCAGCCGTGGGCAGGGACCCCATCGCGCAGCAGCACCGTCAGCAGCACCGTCTTGAGCACATACGACGACAGGATGCGTCCCCACTGGGTGGCAGCCACCGGGTCCAGCCCGCGGGCGCCCAGGTCTCGCAGAGCCTTAAGCAACTGCAGGCACTTGAGGTAGCAGGCACCTGGAGGGGCCCGTTCCTGCAGCCACCCCAGGAGCTTCTGCTCCTGACGAGCTGTGTTCACACCCCACAGCGCCTCAGTGCGCAGGCCTCCTGGGAGCTCCAACAGGGGCCCGACGGGCGAAGGTGGCGGTGGCGGTGCCACAAGGAAGACACCGTCGCCCAGATGGACGGCGGGGATGAGACGCACAGCCATGGAAAGGCGGCAGCAACCGTAGTCGGTGCGGCAGGGCAGGATGTGGAGGGTGGGAGGCTGCTCCAGGCCGCCGGGGGTCAGGCTGACCCGACAGCGCCCCTCCAAGCTGTAGCGCACGGTAGCCAGGGAGCGCTGCAGGTGCGACTGGAACCAACGCAGCACCGACGCGGCAGAGAGATGGCGCCGCCCGCGCACATCCACGCAGAAGCCGTCCGCGAAGGGTTTGCAGTCCCGAAGCCACTGGCCCCCGGAGGTCCCCGACAGCGAGGGCGGCGCCTTGAGGGCGCACACGAAGCAGCTGCCGAAGGCAGGGGCCAGCGCGGGCTCCGTGCCCAGGCTCCGCGGCTCCAGCGCCACCGGTGGAGGGAGGCGCAGGGGCACCAGCACGTCGAAGCTGTCAGGGCGGCGGATTTTATGCTGCTCGTAGGAGCTGCCCACTTGGATGAAGTCTCCGCGGAAGGCCAAGGCCAGCGCTCCTCCAGGGATGGGACCCGGGGAGCCCCGCGCACGGCCAGCCCTCACCAGCTCGCCCACGATCCGGCTCACGTGCGCCTTGCTATGGCCCAGCACATGCGGGGACAGGCGCACCTCGTGCTCGTAGTAACTCTCCAGCAGGATGCTCAGGCCGGGCTCTCGCAAGTGTCTAGGAGAGAAAGGCGAGTGGCCCGCCAGGCGAGAAGAGCCGGGCAGGAAGCGCTGCCGCACCAAGTGGCGACAGCGCAGGAGGACGTAGCCGAGCAGGAGCAGGATGGCCACTTTGAGCAGCGGGAAGCCGCTGTCCGCGCCGTCGGGGGGCTCGGCCGGGGCGCCCGCGCTTCCCCGCAGGACATGGTAGAGGCACACGAGGGCGGTGCACAGGCCGGTCACCAGCGGCCAGAAGACGCGCAGGTTGAGGGTGTAGTGCACCGACATGCCGGGCGCGCGGGGCCGCGGCGGCCGAGCAGCCCAGGGCGCGCGCCCAGGAGGCGCCCCGAGCCCAGCCGGCGCCCCGGGCCCAGCATGCGCGCGGCCACCCGGCGGCCCCGCGGCGCCCGTCTCCTCGGCTTCCGCGGCGGCTCCCCCGTCCGCCGGCGGGGGGCCGCCGCCCTGCAGCTCGGCCTCCTCTCCCAGCTCAAGTTTTCCTTCCAGCTGCGGCCCGCCCTGCACGCCCCGGCTCCCGGCCGCGCCCTGCGCGCTGCGTCCGGCCCGGCGGCCCTGCCCGCCCGGAGCCCCGGCGCGCCGCCCTCGGCCAGCTTCTGGCCCGGCCTGGCTCGGTCCTACCGCGGGTGGCCCTCAGGGTTCTCCGGCCGCTGCCCTCGGCGCCGGCGCCCGTTACTCGGGCCGCGGGAGCTTCCTCTTCCGAGGGGAGCGAGGCCAGGCCGCGCCAGGGGCGGGAGGAAATGCCGAAGTGGGCAGCCAGCCGAGCGCGCGGCGGGCGGGGTCGGCCCCCTCCCGGGCCTCCGCCTTCGAGCGACGCCGGGCGGCGGGAGGGACTTCTGGACGCGCTGGGAACTGGCCTCCCGCGGGCCAACCCGGTCCTCCCTCCGCGAAGGCAGGACTGGGAAGGCCCTGATTCCGGGGCGGTGGCCTCGCCCGAGGAGCCTCCGGAGTCGTGCTGTCAGGCTCTGGGACCGGGAAGTTGAAAGGGAGAGAAGCGCTCGCAGCCAGACTGCCGGTCCTCCCACCAGCACCCCACCCCCAGCTCTCCCAGTGGTGGCGTGGCAGGCCCGGGGACGGAAGTGGTCCCTGCCTTGTGCGGCTGCCCTTTTTTTCAAACTGGTATTCACTGAACACCTACTGTGTGCCAGGCGGAGAGGAGGTCCTGGGGAAAGAGCGGTTGACAGAGGAGGCTTCTGCCCTTCCCCTGCTAAAAGAGGGGATCAGAAAAGACAGGCTCCTACAGCCAGAAAATGCTCTCAAAGAAAGAAAAGTGTAAGAGAGGGGGAGGAGGTGGTGATGATCCTTTAAGAAACCCGAGGCTGGCGTTGGGTCTGAGACAGTAAAGAGTCTGGAATAATAATCATAGTTTATGCAAAGGGCTTACTGTGTGCTATAGTCGCGTTCACCCAGCTCCCTATAATGCTAAGAAATGGGTATTATTATTCTCCCCATGTTTCAGATGAGGAAACTGGGCTCAGCCTGATTCAGCTGCTTGCCCAAGGTCACACAGCCTTTGCAGAGCTGTGTCTGGAACCCAAGCAATTTGGTTCCAGCAGGGAATGTCCCTTCTCCATCTGCTGGGACTTCATCTGAGACCTTTGTGAGGGCCTACACTGCAACCTTACTTCTGGGAAGCCTGTGTTACTTCACTGCAGGGGGTACTCCCAGCAGTAACTCGGATTTATTTGAATAATCATCTTTATTTAATCTTATTCATTGTGCCTTCCTAACCCCGCCCCAAGGAGAGTGAGGGTAAATGCATTAAAGACTACCAGAACCCAGCCATGATCTGGAAGGGTGGCTCTGGGATTAAGCCCAAGAAATTCTGTGTTGAGCCACTTAATGCTGAGCAGATCTGCTTTCAAATTTCTTCTTCACTACTCTTAGCTATGAGACCATTGTTCATTAGCCAGAATTCATGAGGTTGCAAGTACAGAAACAGAACTGGCTTAAGTGGGGGGAAAAAGCATCATGTTAATGGATAAGTCCACAGGGAATCTCTTTCAGGTATAGGTTGATCTAGTTGCTGCAATGTTCTAAGTTCTTGTTTTCTCTCCACCACTTAGCTCTGTTTCTTCTACGTGGATTGTATTCTCTGGCAGTTCCTCTCCAGATGCTCTGCTACTCTACTCTCACATTCTTCTTAGTGCAGAGGAAACCAGACCTGTGCTTTCCTGAAAATTATAGCAAGTGCCATGCCTTAGCATAATCGCCTCAGATCATGTGAAAAGCAACCAAGCAAGAAAATGCACTGATTTCCCTTGCCTGCCTTGTGTCTCTGCCCTTTCAAATTCTATGCAGAAGCCCTAACCCCCAAGGTGACTGTATTTGGAGACAGGGCTTTTAGGAGTTAATTTTGTTTAAATGAGGTTAAACAGATTCCAAATCTGCTAAGATTGGTGGCCTTAAAAGAATAAGGAGGGACTGATCTCTCTGCATATTCACTCACCAAGGAAAGGTGAGAGGGCATAGCAAGACCTGGTCACCTACAAACCAGGAAATGAACTTTCCCCCAAGCCAAACCGAACCAGACCTTGACCTTGGATTTCCCAGCCTCCAAGAGCTGTGAGGAGATAAGTTTCTGATGTGTAAGCCACTCGGTCTGTGATATTTGTTATGACAACCTGAGCTAACTAATGCAGTTGGGTACCAAACCCTGGAACCAGGACATGGGGTCAGCCCTGCCTACACTGTGGGTGGGGACTTTGGAGAAGGGTGTCCCCCAAAGAGAGTCGTGGTGCTGAGGTTGGGAGGAGGAGGGTAGGATTTGGGGGCATTGTGAAGAGAACAGGACCACCTCATTTGGTTAAGCCCTAACCTTTCTTTGCTCTGATCCCCCCATCTATAAAGTGGGTGTGACACTAGCAGTGATTAATTTTTTTCCTTTGCAGATAAGGTGGCAGGCCACCTCCAACCGTACAAATAAGGGCAAGACTCTAGATCAGAGGCCGGTAGACACTTTTTTATAAAGAGCCACAGGATAAATATTTTAGGTTTATGGGACAGACGCGCTCATTACAAATCCTCCCATCTGCTTGGGTGGCCCACAAAGTCACACTTCCAGTGACCCACCTCCTCTAGCCACACCCTACCTGCCTACTTGGTGGATTAATCCACAGATTGTGACAGCTCTCATAATCTAATCATCTCACCTCCCAACGTTCTTGCACTGCCTCACGCATGAGTTTTTGGGGGGACACCTCATATCTAATCCATAACTCCAGTCATTAAATTTAGGGCTCACCCTAATCCAATATGACTTCACCTTAACTTGGTCACCTCTGCAAAGACCCTATTTCCAAATAAGGTCACAGGCATGAACACCAGGAGTCAGAACTTGAGCATATTTGGGGGGGGGGGGGACACAATTCAACCCATTATCGTGACTGCAGATAATACATAAATGAGCGTCAGGGCTGTTCCGATAAAATTCACGGTCATTGCAATTTGAATTCCATAACATTTTCATGTGTCATGGAATATACTTCTTTTATCATGCTCAGCAGAGTAAGCCAATCCCCCCAAACCAAAGGCTGAATGTTCTCTGATAAGTGGGTGCTGATCCATAATGGGGGGTGGCATGGGAAGAATGGGGGAGCTTTGATTGGGCAAACAGGGGGGGAGGGGGCAGGGGGCAGGAAAGATGGTGGAATGAGACGGACATCGTTACCCTAGGTACATGTAGGACTGCACATACTGGGCTACTCCACATCGTGTACACCAGAGAAAAGAAAACTTGTGCTCTGTTTGTGTGCAATGAATCAAAATGCATTCAACTGTCACATAGACCTAGTTAGAATAAACAAACAAGCAAATAAATAATGCAAAGTATAAAAACCATTTTCAGATTAAGAGTCGTACAAACACAGACGCCAGATTTTTGCCTGTCGTCCATAGATTCCAACTCCTGCCCTAGAACAGGGGACAAGAGCGGTATAGCGGGAACTTGAACCCCCAGCACCGTCGAGCTGGCAGATCACAGTGGACCACCAGCCCAAACCCAGATGTGAGAAATAGACTTCTTTGTTCAGGATAAAATAATAAAAAAAAAAATAAGGAAAACAATAATGCATCTAAAATCAAGTAATTCTTGTTAGAAGAATCAATGTGTGGGAAGATCAAATGAGCTAGTCTTAGCAGCTTCCAAGTTGCCACTTTAGGGAATCTTGGTTACACCTTTCAATGGGGCCATTTCCCACGCCTGCAGTGCAAGCCAACCTCATCCCTCACCTGCCTGTTACAACAGTCTTCTCTGTGATCTCTCTGCTCACTCTTGACCCCCAGAGTCTCTTCTTCATTTTTTTTTTCTTTTGTACTAGGGATTAAACCCAGATTTACTTTACCACTGAGCTACATCCCCAGCCCTTTTTATTTTTTTAAGTCAGGGCCTCACTGAGTTGATTAGGGCCTCTCTAAATTGCTGAGGTTGGCCTCGAGCTTGTGATCCTCCTGCCTCAGCCTCCCCAGCCACTGGGATTACAGGCGTGCACCACCACACTGGGCTAGCCTCTTCTTTACACAGCAGCCAGAGGGGTCTTTGTAAAACCTACATGGAATTGTGCAGCTTCTCTGTTCAAAAACCTGCCACACTTGCCATTAGCTCTGAGCAAAATCCACGGGTCTCCCCGTGGCTGCTTAAGGCCCTGCATAAAATGGCCCTCTTCTCCTACGCCCTCCCCCCTCCCTCTCTGCCACAGCCTCCCTGTGACCTCAGGACCCCATGCTCTCAACTGCCTGTCCCCTTGCTGGACCCTTTGCCCATAGCCCCGACCCCCATGGACTCATGGTCCACCCCTTTACTTCCTCATGTCTCTCCACAAAAGCAGCTTATCCAACAGCCCTTCTCTGCCATAAAACAGCATCCCGATACCCTGCTCCTTCGCCCTGCTTTATTTTTCTTGCGTCTTTCACCTTCTGCTACATGGTACCGGTGTCCCTCCTTATCCACAAGTTCAACAACCTTGCGCTGAAAATCGGTCGAAAAATAAGCAGCTGCCCCTGTACTGAACACATGCAAGCTCTTCTTGCTATTGTTCCCAGAATAGTGCAGACCAACCATGGGCACAGAGTTTACATTGTGTTAGGAATTAGGAGTGACCTCGAGGTGTGGGAGGGGTGTGGAGGGTCTCCACGGCAGGGGCCTGAACATCCTCCAATATCAGCATCCGCAGGGATCCTTGAGCCAATCCCCCTTGGAATCCTGGGACGACTGTGTATCTGCGATCTGTACATTTACTTCTTCGTTATCCTTCTCTGGAATATAAGTGCATGAAAGCTGTTGGTTATCTATTTTCCTAGTCTCCAGCGCACCCACAGCTCCTGAAACAGCACCCCATTCTTGG